CATACCGGTGACCTTCCCCGTCCCCCACAAAAAACACATTCTTGTGAAAGAGCACTCATGTGCAGTGTGCAATGGTGAGCTATCCTTCTTCACAATGAACTTCTGTAGATTGTTTACTGTAAACATATATCATGGGATTGCTTATCCCTTCCCCCTTCTCCTGGTAATCCCATGACTTTGAAACTCTGCACCGATTCTCTGAAAGAACCTCATTCTTTTCCCATTCAGCTGCAATTCTCCTCTGCAATGAGCCGTGTCTAAAATTATTTGTCTTCATGTCTGGGCAACATAATGATCACTGCACTCGTGTTTAATTTAACCGCCCTATTTTTGCATGGTCACAGCCTGCTTCAGTCTGAAAGAACTGGGGAAACTGGTGGATAAGTCCCTTGTGATTGGCCTGAACTGAAATGTTTGGCAAAGGTCCAACTTGTTCCTAGGTTAGACATTTCCAACGTAAAAACTTTACTGTGTATTTTAACAATCTTCCCGTTATTCCCAATCCCCGCACACAGACAATATATGCTCTCTCTTAACTAGCAAATAAAACTTGGCTTGATATTAAGATAGATTTCACACTTTTTTCTTGCCGGATTCTTTTTATGATAATTGAAGACTTGGTTGCAAATCTGGCTGCAAGATTCAGCGTCCCAAGGAATGAGTTATTTGTATTGATCGTCAAAAATAAAAAATGCACATACAAATGTTCTTAGAAATTGCAGTTTGATTAAAAGAGATACAATTTTAGACCCTGTTCTCCTTCACATTCAAGAATCTTGACTGCCTTAATATTCCTATGGCGAGATCTTATTTCCTGGTCATTGATTTTAAATATGAGATGACTAATGAGCTTTTGTGATTCAACTTGACATCGCCTACTTTCTGAGCTGATGTCCTCTGGGCCCAAGGTACTTTACTACGATTCAAATATCTAATTTATTGTAGATGTAAATTGGGCATAAGCCCTTGTCTTTTTATTTATCAAGCACAAGCACCACTTGATCTGACCAAACAGTCTGGGTAGGTTGGATATTGTTTGTTGGACTGACCCTCTCAGTTACAATCACAGTGTCCGCAGTGGGTTCCAAGGAACCATCGTTTTATATTGAAGGGGCTGGTTGGTGAAGGGCAGCACAGTGTTAACTACTGATTTCAGAGCAAGGTATTCAGGGTAAAGTCAATCTCACCGAGATTAAACAATGATATTGCAGAAAAAGTTACAGAGGGCAACACTTGGAGTTTAAAAGTCTTTAAAAAAATACTGCATTTAATACATCTCTGAAAATCAAGGAAATACTCCAGACTCTTTGTGTGGAAGCTATGTCTGGTAGCATATTGTTTAGACCACTTGCCTCGCAAGTGAGAGGACCTGGGTTCGATTCTCAGGCACAGCAAAAATACCCACTTTCCCCTCTTTTAAATCATGATTGAAGACTTTCCCCTTCGCCCGTGCTTACGGTCACCTCCTCCCGTCCCCCCGGCTCAGGGCTGTGCTCCGCCGCTGTTAAGCGCTCTGAGGGGCTGCTCAGTGTGAAGGGCGCCATATAAGTGCAAATTGTTGTTGCGTGAAATATGCAGTTAATTGTTATGAGCAAATTAGATGTCCCCTGCAATGGCTGCCCAGTGATTATAGACCTTATTGTTAACTTCACCTTATGGTTAGATCAGGCAGGTAAATATGCATTTGATCATATGATAAAATACTCTTTAAAGTGTAGTGATGGGTTAAATCACTATCCTGTGTTAGGACATCAGGCTGACAAATAAAAACCCGCTTGTGTTACATTATATTTTCTAAGCTCTCGAGTGTGTACCTGTGTAATCCTTTCATCCCTGTCTTTTTTTTACGACCTCTGCTTCCTAAAGCCTGGGTAACTATCTCCCTCTTTAGACTGACTACCTCTGTACAACTGCCACCTCTTTCCAACACATTCACTAACGTTAATGAGCCATTAACTGCGGTGGGGAACATGCAGTTCGTGTTTGCACTACCCCAACCCTTCGTGAAACCTCTTTCTTTTCTCACTCACACCTGGAAAGATCAGCTTTCCTCAGCTCAATCTTTCCAGTGCAATGAAAGGCTGCATCGGTTAAAACAAAACCAAAACATATTGTGAGATGTTCAGTGCCCTGCACTGCATTTTGCAGTGTTTGCCCCTCTGTAACATAGATTTTTTTTTGTTTTTTTTAAAAAAAACTGGCTGTACTCTTTAGAAACTGTAAACTTTAGGACGTAGTGGCACTAAATTAGCACGAGGAATGGGGCAGCTGTGATGAAATATTCCCCCCCCCCACCTTTTTTAAAAAAAGACTGTGATAAAAGGCACTTTATTTACTGATAATTAATTTTAAAAGATTATTCAAAGATCTGCACATACAAAAGGCGACTTTTATGATTTAGAAACACACAGACAGACACACACACAGAGACATACAGACACAGACAGAGACACAGACACACACAGACATACAGACAGACAGACACAGACACACACATGCAGAGAGCTGCACTGGGCTCAGGTTTCAGGGCGATGCACTGCATCACTGGGGCTGCATTTAAAGGCATCTCCTCGGTTTTCTGTTTAATTTCCAATTCTGAATCTGCTCAGGACCAGGGCTGCTTTTTTTTTCTTGCCTTGTGTGTGTGTGTGTGTGTGTGTGAAAATAAAAGGAAAAGCGAAGGAAGGAGAGAGGGAGGGAGGGAGGGAGGGATGGATGGATGGATGGAGAGAGAGAGAGAGAAAAAAAAGGCTCCACCTTCCAGTCTTGAGCGTCAGTGCCCGAAGAGCCAAAGCCAAACTTTTTGAGGAGGTGACATCCCGAGTGGGTACCATAAAGGGGGGGAGAGAGTCTGGTGATAGGCTGCTCAGGGATGTCCATCACTTGGCTCCTGTGCTATCAGCTGCGGTCGAGAGTGGAGAGAAGGCTTTGGGGAGAGGAGGAGGAGGAGAGAGGGAGGGAAGGAGGGAGGGAGGGAGGGAGGGCAGCATCTTCAGTTTATGCAGCTCCAACTCACACACACACACAGAGAGACAGACAGATAGAGAGAGAGAGAGAGAGAAGGGGAGAAGGAGGGAGCAAAAGCAAAGGAGAGGAAAAGCAAAGCGAGAGGTCTCTCCTACTGACTTCAAACCCAGACCCTGTTTCAGCACTGCTCCCCAACACACATCGCCTCTCTCGCTGTGGATTGCCTTTGAAATCGCAATCGAGGATAGGATTTTTTTTTCTTCTTTCGCTTTTTTTTATTTCATTATTTATTTTTTGTATTTCTTTCTCCACCCCCTCCCTCCCTCCCTCCCTCCCTCCTCTCCACCCCTCCCACCTCTCCTTCCCTCTCTCTCGCTCTCTGTTTTTTCCCCCCCCTTCTTCATCTTCTTCTTCTGCTGCTGCTGCTGCTTCTCTCTCTCTCTGTCTCCTGCGAAAAGAAATCGAAAAGGTGAGCAAAAAAAAATGAAATTAAAGATGTAGTTTTGCCTCCTCCTCCTCCTCCTCCCCCCCCTCCCACCACCACCACCACCCAAAAAAAAAGTGGGATGGGATGAGATGAATATATCCCTTTTTTTATCTCTTGGTGTATGTGCGTGTGTGTTAAGTGCAATGTGTTGGGTTATGTATGTGTGTGTGTGTGTTAAGTGTGCAATGTGTTGGGTTATGTGTGTGTATGTGTGTGTGTATGTGTTAAGTGTGCAATGTGTTGGGTTATGTGTGTGTGTGTGTTAAGTGTGCAATGTGTTGGGTTATGTGTGTGTGTGTGTTAAGTGCAATGTGTTGGGTTATGTGTGTGTGTGTGTATGTGTGTTATGTGTTGAATGCACATGCAGTGATTTGTTAAAAAAATTGCATTTTGCACATCGACACTCACACACAGACACACACACACACACACACCTTTGAATGTGTTCAAAGTGTTGGCAAATCCGGTATTTCTGCATAGTTCAATCGGCTGATGTCTAAATCTTTCTGCTTTGGCAGGTGATGTGTTTGTTTTTTTTTGTTTGCGTTTATGTGTGTGTGTGTGTGTGTGTGTGTTTGTGGGGTATTTCTTCTCTTCCCCCTTTTCCCCCCAAATAAAAACATAAGAGAGAAAACAATCACATTTCTTGCTTTTTGGTTGATTTATTCCCTCCTCCCAAAAAAAAGTGCAAAAGGACAATTTGTCAAAAAAAAAAATGAAGTCAATGAAACGATTTGCAAAATCGACTGGAAAATCCGCGACGCTTTTTATTTTATTTTTATTTTTTATTTCGTGTGATTTACCAACAGCTTTTTAATTAGTTTTTTTTTGTTTATTGTGTGTGTGTGTGTGTGTGTGTGTGTTTTTTGGGGGGGAGAGAGAGAGAGGAGATTTGCATTTGTTTCCTTCTCTTGCAAAAAAAACATTTTTTATTATTATTTGATTTGATTAAAAAATTAAATAAAAAAAACATTTTGCTTTGCTTCGTGGGTTGGGGAGGAGTGGAAGAAGAGGAGAAGCCGAAAGAGGAGGAGGAGAAGAAGAAGAAGGAGAAAAAAGAAGAAGGAGAAGGAAAGGAAAAGAAGGAAAGGAAGAAAAGAAAAAGAAGAGGAGGAGAGGAGAGGAAGAGGAGGAGGAGGAGAGGAGGAGGTGGTGGTGGTGGTGTGTGGGAGGAAAAAAATAATAATAAAAACCCAACTGTTTCAAGAAGTTGGTTGAAGCCCTCGTTCGCCTTTTACGCAGAAGGGAGAGAAAGAGGGAGCGAGAGAGAGAGGAGAGGAGAGGAGGGAGAGAAAGAGAAGGAGGGAGAGAAAGAAGGAGAAAGAGAGAGAGAGAGAGAGAGAGAGAGAGAGAGAGAAAGAAGGAGAGAGAGAGAGAGAAAGAAGGAGAGAGGAGAAAGAGAGAAGGAAGGAGAGAGAGAAGAAGGAGAGAGAGAAAGAGAGAAGGAGAAAGAGAGAAGGAGAGAGAAGGAGAAAGAGAGAGAGAAAGAGAGAAGGAGAGAGAAAGAGAGAAAGAGAGGAGGGTGGGGGGTCCCTGGCCGGCGGTGGGGATGGGGGTACCCGCTGGGCTGAGGTTGGCTGTGGCTGTGGCTGTGATCTCCTGCGTCCTGACCGGAGGCTTCGGGCAGGAGAGGAACTACACGGTGCGCGAGGAGTTGCCGGAGAACGTCCTGATCGCCAACTTGGTGCGGGACCTGAACCTGACCGCCGTGCGGGACCTGCCGCTGGTCTTCAAACTGGTCTACAAGACGGGCGACCGGCCCCTGATCCGGGTGGAGGGCAGCACCGGGGAGCTGTTCACCACCGCCAACCGGATCGACCGCGAGAAGCTGTGCGCCGGGGTCTACAGCGAGACCCGCTGCTTCTACGAGGTGGAGGTGGCCGTACTGCCCAACGAGGTCTTCCAGTTGGTCAAGATGCGGTTCCTGATCGAGGACATCAACGACAATGCCCCCCTCTTCCCGTCCACGGTCATCAACATCTCCATCCCCGAGAACACCGCGGTCAACTCGCGCTACTCCATCCCGTCGGCCGTGGACCCCGACGTGGGGGTCAACGGCATCCAGCACTACGAGCTGCTGAAGGGCCAGAGCGTCTTCGGCTTGGACATCATCGAGACCCCCGAGGGCGACAAGTGGCCGCAGCTGATCGTGCAGCAGAAGCTGGACCGCGAGCAGAAGGACACGTACGTGATGAAGATCAAGGTGGAGGACGGCGGGGTGCCCCCCAGGTCCAGCACCGCCATCCTCCAGATCACCGTCACCGATGTCAACGACAACCGGCCCGTGTTCAAGGAGAACGAGGTCGACGTCCACATCCCTGAGAACGCGCCCGTGGGCACCTCGGTCACCCAGCTGCACGCCACCGATGCGGATCTGGGCGCCAACGCCCTGGTCCGCTTTTCCTTCAGCAACCAGGTCTCCGGCCTGGCCAGGAGGCTCTTCTCCATCAACAACGCCACGGGGCTGATCGCCGTCAAGCAGAACCTGGACCGCGAGGAGTTCCCGGTCCACAAGCTGACCGTGCTGGCCAGCGACGGCAGCTCCACCCCGTCCAGGGCCGTGGTGACGGTCAACATCACGGACGTGAACGACAACGTGCCGGCCATCGACACCAGGTACATTGTCAACCCCGTCAACGGGACGGTGCTGCTGTCGGAAAACGCCCCGCTCAACACCAAGATCGCCCTCATCACCGTGACCGACCGGGACGCCGAGCTGAACGGCAAAGTCTCCTGCTTCACCGACCACGACGTCCCATTTCGCCTGAAGCCCGTCTTTGACAACCAGTTCCTGCTGGAAACCGCCGCCTTGCTGGACTACGAGAGCACCAGGGAGTACGTGATCAAGATCGTGGCTTCGGACGCGGGCAAGCCACCTCTGAATCAGTCGGCCACTGTGCTGATTAAACTGAAGGACGAGAATGATAACCCTCCTGTCTTTAATCAGCCCGTAATTGGGCTGTCAATCCCCGAGAACAATGCTCCCGGTACTCAGTTAACGAAAATCACTGCTACCGACGCAGACAGTGGGAAAAATGCAGAGATCACCTATCTCCTGGGTCCCAACACCCCATCCATCTTCAATCTGGACCGGAGAACAGGAATCCTGTCGGCTGTGAGGAGACTAGACCGGGAGAAGCAGGGCCGCTATGCCTTTACAGTGCTGGCCAAGGATGGAGGCAAACCTCAGCTGCAGAGCAATGCTACCGTGGTGGTCACTGTGTTAGATCAAAACGACAACAGTCCTTCTTTCACGCACAGCGAGTACAATTTCTACGTGCCGGAAAACCTGCCCATGTACGGGACGGTGGGGCTTATCACAGTTACAGATTCGGACGCAGGAGCTAACGCGGCTGTCAGCCTTTCCATTGTGAATGATCAAGGCTATTTTATAATCGACCCATCCACAGGGGTCATCAAGCCCAATATTACATTTGACAGGGAACAGCAAAGTTCTTACACGTTTCAAGTCAAGGCTGTGGACGGAGGTAGACCTCAACGTTCTTCAATAGCCAGGGTGACTATCAACGTTGTTGATGTAAATGACAACAGTCCAGTGTTTGTCTATCCCCCATCCAACTATTCTTATGAACTGGTGTCCATTTCTGCCAACCCGGGTTCAGTGGTGGGAAAGGTTTTTGCAATAGACAACGACACCGGGATGAATGCAGAACTTCGCTACAGTATAGTGAGTGGAAATTCCAGAGGGCTGTTCGCCATTGATCCGATGAACGGCAATATTACTCTGCAAGAAAAGGTGACTTCTTCGGACTACGGTTTGTACAGACTCGTGGTGAAAGTCATTGATTTGGGCCAACCTGAGTCCTTGCAAGCCATGGCCATGGTCCATTTATTTGTGAACGAGACCATTAACAATTTCACATACCTCCAGGACATGGTGCGGAAAAGTATGGAGACTCCTTTGGATAAGAATGTGGGTGACAATGAGTTGACCCCACAAACAAACGATTACATTAAGATCGTAATTGCCATCATAGCCGGCACTATGACCGTCATTCTTGTCATTTTTGTAACCGCTTTAGTACGCTGCCGTCATACTCCGCGGCATAAAGCTGTGCAGAAGGGCAAACAGAGTGGTGAATGGGTGTCCCCTAACCAAGAAAACAGACAGATAAAGAAAAAGAAAAGAAAGAAGAAGCGATCTCCAAAGAACCTTCTTCTGAATTTCGTTACCATCGAGGAGTCCAAGCCAGACGACCCTTCGCACGAGCACATCAATGGTACCTTGGATCTCCCAGTGGAACTGGAGGATCAAACTGTGGGGAAGTATAATTGGGGTACAAAGCCCACTACTTTTAAGCCCGATAGCCCGGATCTAGCAAAACACTATAAGTCAGCCTCTCCGCAGCCCTCCTTTCAAATCAAGCCAGAGACTCCAGTCCCGGTGAAGAAGCATCATGTCATCCAAGAGTTGCCGCTGGATAACACATTTGTTGTGGGGTGTGATTCCCTGTCCAAGTGTTCCTCGAGCAGTTCAGACCCCTACAGCGTTTCAGAGTGCAGTTGTCAGGGAGGCTTCAAGACTGCAGGGCCAATCCACACCAGACAGGTAATGCAGAGATTCTAGCTGGCCCTCACAAGAGATCTTGTCTCGGAAGATTAAAAGCCCGAATGGTCATGCATGGCTAAGGCATTGAAATAAATGTAAACAGCTTGTGATTCATCAATGTTTGAGAGAGAAATTAGAATGAAGTGGCATTTAGTTGGTGTTTATTGCTGAGTGGTTGTTTCAGCAATATTGACTCTAGGTGGCACTGTAGTACTTCCTGGCTGCAAAGCAAGCTGCCGCAGTTGTGAGTAGTGATGGGGCACTTGCAAGTATGCTTTGTCGTAGCAAGCACAGGAATCTTGAGATGTAGTGCAGGTGCAATGTAAGGCTGTACAAAATGGATCTTTTGGTTCCTGTTCAGAGACTTTGGCACTAGCAGTAAAGGAAGGGAGGAACAGACCACACATTACGCAGCAAAACAGTACTCCTTTATATTTGAAGAACAAAACCAGAAATAACATAACAGTTTGTGGTAAAACTGCTTGCGTCTCAGCAACTGCCTTTGTATGAGACAAATGCAATTTTGAAAGGAATGTTCTGTAATTTCTCATTCAGAATTTCTCAGGAGAAGGGGCTAGAGGTTTTTCGCAAACCTGTTTAAAACGAACAAGTAAATGTTGAATATGTATGTTGTGCTACACAAGCAAGTGGACATATGCACCATCCACACCTAAAATGTGACATGAGTTTAGAGACTCAGGCTTCTGAATCATCAAGACAGATGTTTGCAGGTATTCATGTTTTATTTTTGACGCCGTCCTTTTTAAATCAAACAAATATTTGCAAATAATAGGAGCCTTGAAAGGGAGGGAAGCTCAATTTTTTTGCGACTGGGTATCTGCGATTGGGTTGGGGTGGGGGGAGCACTGGTAGCAAGAGCAGGAAAAGAGGTCTTTTTTTAATTTAAAAAAGTCTGAAAAATAGAGGAATAAAAAAAGGTTAAGGATCACTTGCTTGAAAGAGTGATTTTTGACGGGGTGCTTTCAGAATCATGTTGATTGACAGATATGTTACAGCAATGTACTCTCAAATCTCAATGGTGACAAAAGTATTATGTAGATGCCTCAAACGAAACTGGGGACACCAGTATGCAATGAACATTGAAATGTTTGTTATTTAAATGTGGTTTTCTAAATTTTCCTGAAATCACAATACAATGCTTTTTGTTCCTTTTAAACCAGTTTAACTCTGGTGGGTAAATAAAGTAATGTTCGAGCCAAGATTTGGTACCAAATTAATTATTCAATCTCCTTGAAGACAATCACATGTACTATTTGTCTCCCAAGTAATTCTCCTTTTAGTACGCTCTCTTTTCAACCCGAATTTAGGTTGGTTGGTACATTTGAGTTTTCAGTCACATCTTCCCTTTGTTTCTTGTTGGGTTTGGGAGGAAGAGAAGGTAACTTCTGCTTAGATACATAGGTCTGGATTGCCTCCTATTCTTATACTTTACTGAGCTGGAAATAAAATCAGTTTTGAGCCGATAGAAATTTCATTTGGTGAAAGATTTGCTCTGTTGAATATTAAATTGCAGCCTCTTCCCTTTCCCAAAGGTGAGTGAATGTAAAGTTAGTAAAATCCAGACCTTTCCATGTGTTGGCACACAGAGAGTCAGTAGTTATAGCGTCTGTATGTTTGTGTGCGGGTGGGGAGGGGGGGTGTTAGAATGTCTGGGGTACGTGGATGAGTGGGTGGGTGGTTGGGGGGTGGGGGGGCGGAGGGGAATATAATTCAGTGAACTATTACTTGCTTGGTGGCCTTTCTGGTGTTTAATTGAGCTGTGAAGTGAAAATATTTTCATTCCGATTTCATGGGGACCGTGTGAATAAACTGGTGCACACACCAGCTACACACCGCAGCTGTTGGCAAGTTATATTTACTGACCCAACTGATGTGGTCCTTTGAGTGCATTTACATACCAAAATAATGTCTGAATGTAATACACGCCAAAATAAGTTTTTACGTTATGCCTTTTTATTTGTAAAATAAATAATTGAAGCTTTTCCCACATTTATGGCTGAAAGATTATGGATTTATTTTATTGCGGTTGGGTTCCTCCCCAAACATTCTGCAGTGGTCTCTCTTGGTGTTTGTATGGGAAGCTACAAATTTGCATGCACTTTAAACATAGTGAGTACATACTTCGAGTTTTATTTATTACTCCCCGAAAAATTATTTTCCAAAAGATGGTTCTGACGGCAATCCGTGGAATAAGCCTCCCACTTGTGCAGAGAGGGGGAAAGGAATAGGGCACAATCCAGGAACAAATCGTGATTGAAAGATGGTTTGAGCCAAGCCACTAGTTTTGAAGCAATTTAAAGATGTTCCCTCAGTTACTATGCTTCCGTTGGTCTTGAAGCTGCTTTGCAAGGCTCACAATATTGCTGTGGTCCAGTTTCAAGGACTACTATTCTTTCCATTTTATTAGAAGCTTCTTTCAGTACTTGGAAATACACAGTTAATAGCAACTTCACACCTCGACCAAACTCTTCTATTTTGATTAATCTTGGTAGACTGATACAAGATAACTGGAAGTTGCAGTAAGGGCTTGATTCATGATTCTTGCTCAATAATTCCAATCCTGAGTATCTTTGCAGGTTGCATTAATTACTTTTTTCTGTGATTCCATGCGCAGATCTATAGTATTACAGATGTTTTATTTTCTGCAGCAATAAATCAAGCAAAGCAGATTGCATGCAATAAGTTCGACAGTGAGGAATAACCGTACAAATTCTTTCAGGAATATTTTTACAGACCTGAAACAATAAGGTACTCGGAACTTTTTTTCACATATCATCTCTTATAAAGCGTTCACAATATTTCCTGTATTACGTAGCATTACTTAGGCTGCTGGTAGTGGAACAGGATTACTGAGTCCCAGTGTTCCCTTTCATGGTCCTCACATTAGCCAGTGGGAGAGAATAAGTTATCAGCTTTACGATTTAGATCAGTCAAATGTTGCTTGTTTATTTTGGAAGGAAAAATGCAATATCATTCTGTATGAGCATTTTTTTTTACACTATCACAATGTTGAATCAATTTACATCAGAATGTCATGATTATGAGTTCATCTGTTACAAGATTATCATAATGAACAGTGATTCTCTTGATCCTGGTGAAAATTCCATTTCTATCAGTGTAGGCACTCTGGGCATAAGATATCTCCAAAGAACCACATATTTGGTCCTTGTGAGTATGTGATAACAAGGTTTCATTGTACATTTCCAAAGGTGTATGGAATGTACATCTCTTGTTTTTTGTGTATGTGGATGCTCATGGCTGTAATTTCAAGTTAGCAGATTGCAATTGAACCGATTAAAGACAACAGTAGTAAATTCAACTAAGAACTGCAATGCAGCATAAACCAGCTACATTTCAACTGCAGTGGTAGGCTTGTACATTTCTTTCATTTGAATTAAAATCCGTTTTGATATATATATATGTTTTCTGTACTTTTGGTATTGCTTGTGTACCTCATTTGTATTTTGCATATATTTAATGTTCTATGCATTGTGCAAAAATCATTTCTTCATTAAAATTCTTTGCATCACACTAATGTTCGAGCAGACTTTTTTGGTGTTTGAGTCAATGTTGTGTAACAGGAGGGTTGTGTTTATACAGAAGGAACTTAGAAATTCTCTGAAATTTACATGATCAGACAGTTTGGTTGCATGAACGGCCTGTATGTACAGGAGGGAGCAGACTTGTTTGTCTATTTTCCCATTCCAGCTTGTTCTCGGTAAAGCACTAACTCACACTGGGTAGAAGTTTCTCAAACACCTGTTACCCTCTGCTATTCCATCCAAGTGTCTGTTCTTCACCTTAAGCCTAGACAGTGAGCTAGCAGGGAATGTAGCTTTAGGACTCATCACATGCAAGCCCTGTAGTTATCCAACATAGACATGTGAACACTTTCCAGCAGGGACTACTGGAAAGAAATCTGAAATAGGAACCCCGGTTGATTTCCTAGCCCAAGAGCAGTCAGATAAAACATCTACCTCGCTTCAGGTGGCATCAATTAACTCTGAGCCATGGCAGTGAGTGATGGTGGGCTGCTTGAGTATTGAGGGCATTATAGCAGAACCCAACACTATCCTTGCCCATTGTTCATCATATGCACACTTTCCAGCAGGAGATGCTGGATTGGATAGTCATTGGGAGCCACATTACGAAGACAAACCCTGGTTGATTTGTCTTTGTTAACACGGAACGGAGACCAAACAGCACTCCAGCTGCCAAAATTGAGGTCAGCCCATTCAGCACAAACTAGGATTAAACCTGGGTGATTCTGTATGTCTGTATGGCTCAACTACCCATTAAATAAACTCACTCAGCCACTGGGAGAGATGTTTTAAAAATGGATCTTTAGCAAACGGGCACATAGGCAGGGAGGGGCTAGAGTGAGTGGGGATAGTTTATGTTGAGAACTTGCAGTGTACATAAGTGATTATGGAAGGAAATCGTACTCTTTGAGTGTCAAAAGTGCAGTGTTTACAATAGCTTCTTCTTGTCAAACACAATCTATCATTTATTATAATGTACCAAATTGGTTAAGGCAATAATTGAGCTTATATAAAAACTTTGGGCAGAAGGATCAAACTGAAAATCAAAAAAATAAAATCCTATGAAGTGGAAATTGAAAAAGATAAGAAGCAAGAGAAGTAGTGTAAAGAATTGAGCGAGGAGGAGGGAAATGTACAAGAATTACAAATTGGGTATGACAGGGTGAACTCAATAGCCAGGGTGCTCACATGTAAATGATTCATGGTATTGAGACCGGTTGTCATGTAGATCGACTGATACAGTCTGGCCTGTTGGAATATGAAATAAAGCCTGTTCCCTTTGATCCTTACAACTGGCCTAAAATAGGATTTATTTTAAGGTAATTAATTGGAAGCGGTTTAGTGATTTTATGGGTTCTATGACAATGAGTCCAATCTAGAACAATCTCATGATGAGCAGGTTTTTGGTGAAATGAGAAGCTAATAATAATAATATTCCTTGCATGTGACCTATTGTTTAAAATATCCAAACATCTCAAAGCATTTGATAGCTAATTCACAAGATCACAAGATTGGTCTGGATGAAGAAGGCCGTTTGGCCCATTCCACCTCATCTCTCCAGAACACCCACCCTACCATCCCTTATTATGACATCAAACTGCTGTTTAAAGCAAATTTGCTGTCAAATATGCAATGCCTCACAAACAGCCATGAAATAAGTAAGTGATAAATTCATTGGAAGACTGTTGGTCAAAACCTTGGGAGAATCTCCCTTTCCATTTTGAACATAAGGATCTTTAACATCCACCTGAAAAAGCAAGTGAGAGCTTGGTTTTGAAGCCTTATCTGAAGGATGGGACCTTCCCAGTACTGAATTGGGAGTACCAGCACGGACACTGAGCCCGGGTCTCAACAATGAGCTTGAAGCCACAACTTTCTGATCCTCGGGCACACGTGCTACCAATTGAGCCAAGCTGACAT